GTGGGAGAAAAAGGTTTGACCTTGTGGAAAACACAAGTGTTTCTTTATCTAAGTTTTATGATCCTGCCCAAATATTTAGGGGCTGTTAAGTGGATGCAATAGACGCAACTATACGATTTAATGTGTAACCGTCTTCGGAATATTCCACAAGTTATTCTAAATAATCACGTACAAGTATCCGTTTGTATATTTGATGGATACGTTAAATATATTTGTAATAATTAAGAGGAAAGTCATGGCCCTAACAAATATACATATTAGTTATACAATAGATGACAATAAACTTTATTTGCAACCGACTTGTATTCAGGGTCAGATTCATCTAATTTTGATAGTGTATACGATTTTCTCACTGTTGTTATAGCTGTAGGTATCGGCATTTTATAATGGAAATGCCGTAGCATATACTCGATTATATCTTTATTTTTTTTCACTTCCATGGCTTTGCGCAATACACTTTACAGATCCACTTACATGAGTCTTACTGAAACTCTCCAGCCGTATCACAGACAGTAAGCACATTCTATAAAGAGATAGGGGATTTCCCTATTTGACTTATTTTTAATCTATTTACGTCCTTGGGTTGTGTTTTCGCCAGTGGCGTAGCAAAGTGTGGATGCAAGGTGAAATTTAATGGGATTTCATTCAGATTAAAATCAAACTAAGAGGACTTAAACAAATATAAATATGAAAAACACTGGCGTTAAAAATTTTTTTAGAGCCCTCAAATAGTAAAACTAACACGGCATTCTTAATGTGACCCTACGAGAAACGACAATCAATTTTTTTTTTTGAAGATGTTGTTTAAGGCTCTATGATTTTCTCTATTTGCAATAAAAAAAAATGCTTGTCTGAGTACCTCTTTTGTCTCCAACCATTATTATTATAATTGTTATTGTCAATAGAGTGTATAACAAACTATGTATAAGAGACATCCAAGAAGTCTCTAAGTCGAGACACTCGATACACTTTAATATAAACAAAGGGGACCAAGCGTAAACAATCCGAATTCAAGTCCTTAAGTCAATAAACACATAAGAATCTTAATATGTTGAGCAGCATAGTCTCAGATGAATCTTAAATCAACCAAGTAACGAATAAAGTTATGTAAAACCAAACGAACATTACCTTACTACTTAACTATTCGAGGGGTACACGCATTGCACCACCTTTATAATGGTATCTTAATTTTCTAGAAAATGTCCATAAAAAATTACTACCTTTTAATCAGCAAATTCATTAAAACTATGATTTTTTTTTTGCAAAATACTGTCGTGTCTCGGGATGGAATATCTCTTGACACTGAGGAATAATTTGTTGTATTGTCGATGTGGAGTCCTAGCGGGTTTTATGAAAGAGTCTAGATTAAAGTCAGTGTAATTCATAGTATTTATTTAACACTTAGATGCTTCAGTGTCGTAATCTAGCTTCCAGTTGCTACAAGTATAGCGTGATGGTCAAGAGAAGAGTAGAACTAGAACTCACTTAAAATAACAAGTGTCGTCTTATATGTAAGAAGACGTACTGACTACAGAATAATATTCTAAGGGTAGGAACTAATTTGTCATGTGGGCTTCGAATGTAAATTAGAGGTCCAAAGGGTGAGAAATCTTACAATTGTTTGGGGTGGTTAATTGTGGGTGGCATAGTTTTTATAGCTAGCTGCCAAATATGTAACAAACCACCCTTTTAAGAAGGTTGCATAAATGGGTTGTAAAAACCAGCAAAGTATGAGAAACCCAAGAGCCGCACCTAAACTTTTTGGTATAATATTTATATCAATATTTATATCAATTTATTTATTGATACAAATCTCTTCGGCCCTATTTCTACCCCTTTCGGGTTTAACAGCCACCACAATTTTTTGTTGATTTTTCGGAATTGAACCAACGACCTTTCGTATCAGATTTTCGTGATACAGGCGACCATAAAAAGAATACAAAGATGTAAATTGTAAAATTGTAACGTATGTTTGGTGGCCTATATCGCCACCTAAGTGGTCTATATCGCAAGCCCGACAACTGAAATACCGTCTATCGAAATCCCGACGTTCGAAATTCCGATTATATAAAAATCTCGACAACCATAATTCCGCCTATATCAGAATCTTGACAACCATAATCCCGACTATATCAAATTCCCGACTGTATCAAAATCCCTTCATAAATTTCTACAATAATATTTTTTAATTATTTTCGAGCGTAGTCACCTTGTGCATTTTTATTATTAATAACAAAAAATTATTATTAATTTATTTGATTTTGTTGAATTATTCATAATAAACCTTAACATTATGAAATAATCTCAAATACAATTAGATTATTAATTGTTGATATTTATTAAAAGTGACTACGCTCTGGAATAATTTAAAAATGTTATTGAAGACATTTTCGATATAGTCGGGATTTTGATACAGTTCGGATTATGGTTGTCGGGATTTTAATATAGTCGGGATTTCAAATTTGATTGACGGTATTTCGGTTGTCGGGTTTGCAATTACCACAGCCACCTAAGATGTCTTCAGGAAATTCAAAATAGCATATTTCTATTGGTTTCAACGAATAAAGTCTTTCTTCGTATTACTTTTATTTGTTTAAGTAAGTTAATTCACTTACCTTCCACGTGCTAGAACAAAATGTTTTTGTTTTTAACAATAAAATAAGAATATAGATAATAGATAAGAATAGATTATTTATTTCCATTAATTACATTTACGTAAGGTTACATACATGACTTAAAATACGTAATAAGATTAGTAATATGTTTTTGTTTTATAAAATTATTGTTTTTCTTACATCATACTTTTATTGTGAATTTATGTTTCTTTATATTTTACAATCAATAAATTGATATTAATTATTATTATTTGGTATGGAAAATATATTAGATTAATTATTTTGATATATTGGGAAGAAATTAAACAATTCCTCATTCAGTAGAAGTTTACGATTTTTCTTTAATAGTATAACGTATTTTGTACGTCGGATAAAAAGTGTCATCATCATACTTAACAAACACATCGCCATTACTTTTTATTGTCGTATTATATCCAGGGTTTGGGTAATTCGTTCCTTTATAACCGATTTCAGTTTTCCCTATAAAAACATTGCAGAGTAAAATGCAATATTCTTCATCTATCTGTGGATTATTTGAGACGCTGTAATGGAATGCGTACGAGAAGTATTTTGAGAATGAGATGCCTTTGCCGAATAAATGTTGTTTCACCAATCTGTAGTCGAAATTTTTCTTCAAAATATTGTCGAGACTGGATTCTGTTGTTCCGTGCCACAGCTCATATTCAAGTACATCTCCATTCGTTTCAGATTTCTTCAAATTGTAAAGGGCAAGTGTATAGGGATTGAATACTTTTTCTATTGAAATTATAGATATTTCCCCGATGGTTCCACCATATACATATGCGGTTTTCGCAATTGACTTGTATTCACTGCCAGATTCATCTAATTTTGACAGTGTGTACACTTTGTTCGTTGTTTCACAGAATTTAGGTATTTTATAACCGAAATTCTGCTGCAGATACTCAATTATATCATTATTTCTTTCCACCTCCATGGCTTTGCACGTATTGATTTAGAGAAAATATAATTTGTTCACAACAAAAACTGCACGGATACGTCTAATGTGTCGCAATGAAACTCACAAACACAATGAATTTCCGACGAGGAAACATTTATATGTAACGCGCTGCATTCTTAATATTTTTTAATTGTTTTTGTTGTCGCCAGTGCCGTAGAAAGATGTGATTGCGGTCAAAATTAATGGGATTCTATTCAGATTAGAATTAAACTAAGAGAACTTCAACAAATTTGAATTTGAAAAACAACATTTCTTTATGGCCCTCAAATAAGAAAATTAATACGTTAAGAAGGGCGCATAATCGGTTTGTCTGCTGCGAAAATAATTTCTATGGACTGTGTGAAACGTCAAATGTCTTTTGTCAATTGCAAACTTAAAAGCTAATACTTGCATAGCGTGTAAACTATTATACATAATGACGGCATGACCCACCGGTGGGTCATGTAATCCATAACGTGTTAATATTTTTTTAAACTGTTGTTTAAAGCTCTATGATTTTCTCTATTTCCAATAAAACAGTATTTGGTACTATTAAATTTGTCTGAGTACTTCGTGGGGTCTAACAAAAGTTCGCTTAGTTGCCTGGAAAAAAAAAACAAAAACAAAAATTTTATTTTAATATATTTAATTTTCATCCTTTTGTAATTTTTCAACATTATTTTTCAATTTATTTTAATGGCTCTTCCCCTCAATTTTTTAATTTTTTTGGAAACAGCCAGAAATCACACGGCGCTAGGTCCAGAGAATTTCATTGAGACCAGAAAGCGCAAGAAAGTTGTTGTTTTTTTTTATCAGTGTGAGCGGGTGCATTATCTTGGTGCAAAAAGTAGCGACAAAGTTCCCCTTTTTTCTGGTTTCCCAACAAGTTTTTGAAAACTTGTGGTAAGCAAGTTTCTGTATATCACTTAGCAGTTACCAGTTACCTGGCCAGTTTCCAGTGGGATAGCAGCTACCACTTTTGTCCTGGTTAAGTAAATTGACACCATCACTTTTGTTGCTGATTTTTGTGTTCTTGATTTAATTGGGGGATTTGCACCTTCTGCGCTCCATACCATGGACTGCTGTTTGGTTTCCGAATCGTACTTATAGAACCAAGGTGCTAGACCAGTGATTCACAAAGTGGTCTATATCGACCCCCAGGGGTCTATGACAACCTGCAAGGGGTCTACGTCAGCGAAAAAAAAAATTTGGGGGTCCATGAAATGAAAATGGGGGTCTACGATAGTTGATCTCAACATACACTGATAGTACCTATTTACTTACATTATACTATCTTATAATATAAAGTAATAATATGAAGTAAAAAAATTATTATATATGTTCATAAAATTGTGTAAGTTGTAGGATGTAGGCATTCGCTTTGTGGTCGCAATACATTCTGAACTTGTAAAAACCTGCACATA